TTCCTTCTGTAACTTCTGCTGCCCTCATTTCTCACCCTTTTCAGATGTTTTTCTTGTTTTCTGTGGTTAACGACCTTCTCACTGCTATAGTCAACAAGGTATGTGCTCTAATATACAATGTTCTCTAGCGCGCTATGTTGACCTACATGTGGCGCCAGAGGTCCTCGGGGTTCCCCAGGACATTATGTTCATTTATCAACACCATTGCTGGTGTACTTGCTCCTATGCTCAAGCTTCGGCATTGTCAGCATGCATCACAAGTGTTCTAAGCTCTCGACTGTCAACAAAGTCAAGGAGGCTATTGTGCAGTCCACCAGTAATCTCAGAACTGTGCGCTCCAACCTTATGAAGTTGCGAGCCAATCACATAGTGTTTGAGAGGGAGCAGGTCCAGAGTCAGCTAGGTGGGCTTTTCCATTCTTTAACTATTTTGTTATTTTTCTCACTTGTCAAACAGCCGCCAATATTACTGCAAGACAGCTCCTTGTTGAGGCTGCACTTGAGGTGGGCACTGTGAATGATGCAAACACCGACCCTCAGTATCTGGATCACCCTGACTACCCTGACATGGACTACAATATAGGTCAAGAAGAAGACTATGTAGATGAGGAGGATGGGCCACAGGAGGAAGAAGATGAGGCAGTGTTGGAAGGAAATACCATGAGTACATATGAAGGTTCAGCGGTTGATGCTGCACGGGCTCACATTGTATATTGGTAAGTTTCCTTTTTTCGTGGTTTTTACAAATAACAGTTTGTGCAGTTTGCAAGGTAGACATCGCCGCCACCAGCCACCACACAGTTGACTCCAGTGCAACTGTCATTGTCACAGTGCATGGATGTCTCAAATGCCAGCACTTGTTGCAAGCTACTTGCACTGGAAGCACCATGAAGCCATGCCCACACCTAATGTCGAAGCCGGAACATTCGTGTTCCATGTCAGCACAGTAAATATTCTAGGTACATTTTTTTCATGCCTAAGATCATCACAACACCACTCATAAAGTACAGCATTGATGTCTTTAATGTCAGTCCAGCAAGCTGAATTGGCCAATGTGTCACTCATCAATATCAGATTCCTCAGGTGTTCCCCCATTCAGCCTAAAATCACTGTGTCCCTTCAATGCCTCAAGTTATATCATCAAATCCGCCAACATAAACATTCCTTCAGTGTGCAGGCAATGGTCAAAGTACTCTGTGCCCTTCGCAATGTATGTTTTTTGTAATGTGTAGCTACATTTTATTAGGTTTCTACTATTAATATTGTGTTCTAGCACTCATATTTCCAAGCATTGCAGGATCAATTTACAATCACTTTCAATGTCTATCTCGATATCTTATGGCATGTTCAATATTTAGCTAACACTGCATTGAAGTGTGATACTCCTCATTGGCGCATGCTTCACTCATGCCCTGCATGTAACCACAAGGTAAATATTTATTGTTATTATATGATGGTGAGACATGAACCACACTACAGCAAGAGAATGAGCCGACCTTGATACCTGCGAGGATGGATAGCATGGATGGCAACAGCTCATTGAAACGGGTCGACAGCTCCAGACACGCTGATGAGCGCATCTTCAAAACATCATATTTGATACTTCCTGACAAAGTTGACATATTTAAGGATGATGTGCAACTGCAGCCAGGAACATGAGCAGTCACTAGTAACACATCAGGAGGGGCTAGTCCTGCTGATATCTCAGAGATGGCATGCACTGACAATTGGAAGACTGCAAACACAATTTCTGACAACACTGTCAAAGTATTCAAGCAAACAGGTATTTTCATTAATGCCTGTCGACACGGCATGGTCCAGACCTTGGTCGAGATGCGATGAAGCGGAGAACTGTAAGCCTTCTTCTAGCCCTTATTCGTAATCTGATGTCAACAATTTTATAGTGCTAAATATGCTCTTACAACAACAAATAAAGTTCTTGATGTTTATGGTTCGAATGGAGTAAGAGGATACAACATCGGGTGTTCCTATCAGAAGACTGTTGATGCCAGCTCTATCTCCGTCAAGGCACACTCCAACCATCATCACTTCATTGTCAACTCATTTCATGGACATGCCCACAACCGCTGTTGTCAACTTCAGTTCCATCCCTTATATCAACATGGCCTTGGCCTCGAGGACCTTGAAATGTGCGAGTGCATATGCTCTGCATCAAATGCCATAGCTCCTGTCATCCACCACACATCTTACTTTCACTGGCTTCAATTTATCAACCTCCACTTTCAGCAGTGGGATTCTGATTGGTACCTGGAGCTAAGTATGTTTTATAATATTGTTAATGTTCTTGAATTAATGATTGACTCTTGAACTCTAGGTAAATTTTTGTATAATAACTACAAGCAAGCACTTGCCATAATCGATGACCTAAGTCCGGCCATCAAGGAACTAAAATTAGCACTGAATATCTTGGATGAAGACTTCGAGCACTGGAATATGGAGGAGTTTGAATTTCTGGAGACCCTGACAGAGGAAACAGATGAGTACGTTGAGGTGATGACTTTTGTGGAAGCATTACAATCACTTGCCAAAGCTGAGTAAGTCAGCATCTGTTAAATTTTAGATTGTGCTGACACTTGTGTTATTTCAGAGCTGCATATGGCAGTGTTATGACGGTGCAATTTCTGACTTATATGCCTGTAGATTTCACCCCTACTCACAGTCTCCAAAAAAACCAACAAGCCTTCGCAAGAGCTCGAGAAGCTGAACACCATGCAGCTCATCGCAAGCTGGTTCTCGAAATGATTGTTGTCAATGATATCGAGCGTCGCATGGGAATTACGGAAAGATGGCAGCCACAGGATATGAAATATCAGGAGGGTCTAGCATATCTCACCAACTGGCAATTCATTCATGCGATTGAGCAGTTGCAGGGTCTTGTTGTTCAGAGGCTCTTTGAGTTGTTCAAAGCAAACATTGCTGGCACAGGTGTGTGATTTTCGTTTACTTGACATTATTCTAACAAAAACATGAAGGTTACAAACTTTGTCAACATATCTCGAACACTATCACTCACTGGTCAGCAGCCATCCGAAGAGCTCTCAAAAAATATAATCAACTTGCCATTGTTCAAACACTGCCACGAGAAGTCAGTCATAGAATACAGCGAAGTGGCATCATATGCTTGGCTTGGCAAGTTCGATCTCCTCAAGAATTCATGTCATCGCATACTTGCATGTACTGAGGAGCGCAGACGAGTGAATGAAGTGCATCACAGAAGGATTCAGGCTATTCACAATCTCTCTGGTTACTGTGGATCGTGGGGCATAGAGACAAGAAGCATTGACGATCACAGAGGTGGAGATGCAGATGAGATGATGGAAGATTTAAGAGGTACTAGAAGTATTGAGGCTGATGAGGATGACACACTTGGGGATGAGGCTGACTGTTTAGAAGCTTGTATGATTTAGTAGAGTACTACATAGACAATTATATGCATGGATTAAAACATTGACTCGTTCAAGGCGTGATTATTAGCGGTTCAGGTTTACATATGCATATATGGTTTGTGGCTAATGTAGTGCAGAAGTTCATCAATAGTGTGGATGTGCTCATGAGAGAGGGATTCTTTGAACAATTGAGAATGTCGAAGGTGTCTGCCATCGTTTGAGGAGTGAGTTGTGAGAGTGAGATGTGAGTCCGACTTAATTAAAAGTGGCAAGGAAGGCACATAGTATATGCATTTGGTGCGTGACTGAGTAATGATCAGTGATAAAGTGGTTACACCTCAGTGACGCACCAAATACATATACTATGCACCTTCCTTGCCACTTTTAATTAAGTTGGACTCACATCTCACTCTCACAACTCACTCTTCAAACGATGGCAGACACCTTCAACATTCTCAATTGTTCAAAGAATCCCTCTCTCATGAGCTCATCCGCACTATCAAGTGTTCATTGGCTGGATTTCACGTGTGATGGATACAGTGTGTGAATACTGTAAACTTACCAAAAATGCACCCCCTCAAAGTGACACAAGGGGAAACATTGACGGCAGTCGAGGGGGGGACAATCACCTGCCTGCTTGATACTGGTGCTGGAGAAGTTTTGTGAGCTGCCACAAATCACCAAGTGATTTTTGGGGGATGTGTCACTCATGCATTTGCTGTCAAATGCCACCATTTCCTTTTATATTTTTGCCATGCCCCAGCTCAATCTAAATGTTGCTTTGTCTGCTTCCCTCTCCTGTTCAGCTTTGCATTGGAAACAGAACTGCTCAGCATGATATTCTCTGCATATGTCCTCAGCATTGTCTGTGACTCCCATCTTCAACTCAAGATATATAGAGCATCCATTTTTATGTACTGTCTCTTAATAACCCAGGAAGTGTCTAGTTGTAGTCGCCCAAATTGTGGAGGCACATTATCAAACACTGTCCTACACTGTAGGGACAGTTGAGTTCGGATCTACTATTTGGTCTACCACTAACATAGCAGTCACAGACTCTGAAGGTTTACAAAGATGGAAATAAAATAGAATGAATGAATCATCTCAAACTGCTAAAAAGGTATTATTCATGTGTGGTATGTCCTATATTGCTACTGTTGGTGCTCTGATGTATCTAGCCACCACTACTTGACCTGACACTAGTGGGATCTCCTGAAGTTCCAAGCTTCAAGGAGTCATTGCCCTGTCCACTACAGAGGCAGAGTACATCACTGTAGTTGAGGCAGGTAAGTAGATCAAGTGGATGTGCAAGCTGCTGTTGGAATTGAATTTCCCAGTGGGCACTTTGTCTGTTCTTAGGATAGACAACCAGTCTGCTATCTCTGTCACCAAGCACCCAGAGCATCATGGACACTTCATGTTCACTATAGTCAAGTCTCACTCACTGCATACTCACAGTATGCTGTCCACACACATAAGACACTCAAATAGATCGGACATTCCTCTCCTACTTATATGTGATTTATGTGACTGCAGATGATGGTCCAGGATTGGTGTATTTTGATGAGATGGTTGGACATAGTGGTCGAAATGGTTGCCAACTCTATTGTGGTCTTATTGGGCAATGTAAAGGTATATTATAATTTACCTACCCATCTAGCTGTCACAGATGGCTATGATGAAAATGGAGCACAAAATTTCCATTGGTAGGCTGTGGCACTCATCTCAATGTATTCCCATCCTGCTTCTTCCATCATGGTCTCATTGCTGTGATCCATGTGGAATAGCTGATCATAGGGTCAGGACTCACAAAGTAGGAGCCGAGTCATCTGATACTTCTGCATCAGGCTCAGGCACCTGTTTACGGGATTTCCGATTGACAGTATCAGTGTCCTTCAAATTTCAAGCAAGGGCCTATTTCTGATGCCTCTTTCATTTCAGTGTTGGTGAAGCCATGCTCCAGAATTCCTACTATCATGCAGCGCTATCTTAGCTTTAATTGATGAAATTCCAAAATCATCACTTTTGAAGACAATAACGACAGGGCACAATGGGTGTTTCTTGTCAAGAGTTGAATTCACTGCCTCCTGGTACGTCTTAAATGCCATATCCTCCTGCTCACTTCACAGCTTATACACAGCATAGGCTGTGTATTACTGAAGTGCCCAAGCATTGCAAGGTCATATTCCATTAAGATCCAGTCCATGATTAGCTAGTCCTTAACTACTAGGGAATCATTCGCTGCGAAGCGTCCTTGTGTCTCCTCAATATCTACTACTATTGAATATGATGATGAGTTGCATTGCCTATATGCTGGCGCCCGATATTTGGCCAGATATTTAGCAAAAAAGTGAGGGGCAGCAGGCAACTTTAAACTGGCTGTATGATGGTATCAATGATTCAAAACACTGAGTTTCATGGATTTGTACATTGTGAGATAGTCTGAAATTCAAGAACTATATATACCATCGCTTGCTCACTATGTGTGAGGGAGAGTTAGTCAGTAGCTTGCAGCATAATTGCTGCCCCAGAAGCACCCAAGCTCTGGCTGCCAGCACAGATCAGCAGGACTGCACCTTGTGACAGCCTGCCTCTGCAACCTCCGTGAACAAGGAGCAAACATGAGGGCATGAAATGACAGGAGGGCAGGTGGGATACAAGTCACCCTCATCTATTAAATTTACGCCTAGGCCCATTTGTGCGATAGGAGGTTGGTAGGTTGTTTGTACATTAGCCAATGGCATAGGCTGACTTCCAGATGCTATGATCTTCAGACAAGTGTCTTCATTTTGATGAAGCGTGCAAAACCAGCGAGACTATGGAAAGCCGGACACGTGCGCTCATTATTAAGCATCACACATCCATAACAGGCAGTAGAACCCTGTGTACTCCTAGTTTAAATTGTCCAAGAACAAGAGGTGTAGGTAACTAGATATATACACGACGAAGAAAAATCACCATCCATCTACCATTTCATCGTCACTTTCGCAATCCGAGAACTCCCAAACCACCAAACCAGCGTGATCAAGACCAATCAAGCTTTCGTCAATCCCTGTTGTGATATCCAGCTCATCACTGTGTGAAAGAACATCTAGTTGACTGACAGTGTTCAGTGTCTAGCAAATACATCAGTGTTTAGACTGTCAGGATTGGAGACGACAAACCAAGGCCAAGTCCTTCTGCCCACACCACCCATATAATAGGCGCCATTGAGATCCTCGCGAGAAGGTAAGTCTTGATAGTCATCTAAAAGTGGAACAAAATCTTCATCTTCATCATCCTGCAGCTGAATTTCGCCTGGTAACTTGTCAGCAAGCTGGAGGGCATCTAGCAGAAGCCGATATGTGTCCCAGACTGATTGTCGTGTGATAACTGGGTGACTGAGATCGTTGTAGCAATGCTGGATGCATTTGCCTGAAACCCTCTGGGACCAGGTCAAACATGCAATGAGAGGGCTTGATGTAAAGACTTTGGACAAAGTCTAGGGCCTCGGGTTCGATTTGAATCTATGATAGTACCAATATTAGAGTACTATTACAACAACCAAATTGATGTAGCACGTACCTTGAAATCCAATGCTCCAAAATCTTCAGCTGAATGGTAGATAAGATTGGGTACTCCATGAGGAAGAATCTGGATGGCGTGTCAATGTAAAACCATACTTATTGAGAGTAAAACCACAGGCACAGTACTTTGTTGCGGTCATGCCACTTGGCAGTATTGTTAATACGATCCTGATATGCATCGAGCTCCTGCTGAAGCCACGGTATGAAAACCCAACGGAAAACCATCCTGCAAACAAATATTACAACTAACACTTCGAACAGGAGAAAAATGATGCACACTTGAAGGGTATTATTTGAATCATACCAACCAGAATTGACACCATGATCAAGAAGATTCTCGAATCCAGGTGTGAATCACCAGCGCAGTTGAGACCATGTGATCTCTGGCATAACATTCTTCTTCGTTTGCATCCAGCGATGCTTGGAGTGTACCATGTAAAGCTTTGTTGTGATACTGTCGCAGCATGGTATGCGCGTTTGCAATCCCATAGTTTTCGGACCCCGGGTCACTTTGAGTGACCATTGGCATTTCTAAAATTTAAGTCAAACTTAGTATGTTTGTGCTTTAAAACGTGAAACACTTACAACCGAGAGCCTTGATTGTGTTAAGGTAGTAACTCAGAATGAGCTGCAGATTTCGTTTGGAATGCTAGACCCGAATCCACATTATACGACCAGAGAAAGGCTCAACACCGGTATGCAGCCCAAGACCAAATCTGAGCCACTTGTCATGCTGATCGACTGCGAATAAATCATTCATGCCAGCTGCCCAGAAGCGTCTCCTTCGAAGGCGACAAGCCTTGCGCTGATGAACAAGTTTTGGTTCGTACAAAGCAAAGTACTCTGTCACAACCCTCCTAGGATGCGAAACTCATAGGTCAGTAAAATTGGTCCTCACAATGTAAAGATAACTCACCTAGCAACATTCATTTCCCGTTCATGGTATAGTAGACTCACCATTTCACGTGCACCAGCATTCAGATATGTAGCACGTAAATTGAGCATTGCATCATGAATGGTTTTGACTGTGTGATGCTGTTGACAGGTACATTGAAGACCCATTGTCTTTCAAACTTTCAAAAGTGTGGTAAGCCTAGTGTATAATTATTTAACACCTAAATAACTAGATTTAAACACTACTCACCCGATACCGTAGCGAGTTGTGTCGATGTGTTTTTGCAATTCCTGGATAATCTGCTGATCGGTCTGGCGAGCCTTCCAGAGGCGAAGGATATGAGGATGTTTTTATGTTGCAACCATCGAGCCAGGTCAATGTGGGCGCTATGTGTGTGAATCCTGCCACTTGCATTATGAGAATAAACGAGCTACTTCAGTGAGACCTACAGGTATGTGATCACCATCTAATTGACGAGTGGCTGGCTTACAGACTACTGACTCAGGTAGTCGAACCTTACAATCACAAGGCTGCGCCCCTCCTGATCCACGTACAATACAACGAATGATGAGCACAAGGTAGTCCATTGTCATGAACATGGACGTCAAGTTTCGACATGACCTTGATTCACACACACTACAGAGGTTACCGTGTCCACAATCTTGCTCATGTCGGAATATCCACTGTTCCAGAATCCTGCACTTGGCCCTTTGTCTACAGGATTATGACAATATTAATGACTTTGTGACTCACAGAGTACTTAGTGCTGCTGACGTGTCTGAACCTGTACTTATCTTTTGTCATCCACTGGCTTGACCCCACCGCTTGTTATCTACTTGCTGCGTCCACTTTGTTCTCATTTGTTTGCGCCTATGTGGTTCAAACCACCAATGTCAACACCACCTCACTGTGATGCCCTTCAACACAGACTATACTGTGTCGTGTTCGTAGGGACAGCATATGTATGTTTCAACCTCTCAAGTCCAAATCTTCAAGTCCTTTGTGGAGTCTACTCAATCCAGACGAGTCCAGGATCCCAGGATCTGGAGTCTTTGTGTCATGAAATGTCATGGCTTGAGGCCTTCCCAGTACTATTATCTCCCAACTGAATGCTAAGGCTGTCGCACTCTTTACCATAATCTCATTGTTCCTTGTATGTATAATAATCTGAACTACCATATTTAGTTACCCACAACTAAAGTTCAGCTGATACAACATTTCCAGGATCCTTATCAGTTACCATTTGGTGATCTAGGTCACTGCTATAAGAAGCGAGAGATGCGGAAATTTTGTTCTGCTATTGTTAACGACTTGAAATCAGCCAATGAGCCAGTATCTATCAGGGCTTGAGCTGGTCAACTGTGTATGTTATTGGCTTCAGGATTGCATGTTGAAAGTCACGTGTTGTGGCCGAGTTCTGTTGCAGGGCTGGGTACGTATTTTGGGGTACCTGCACCCCAAACAGTGACTTCTGACCTCGAACTGACTATCTCCAAATCACATCCTGTCTTTTTTGGGAGCACCCATTGCAGACTTGTGCTTGTAAATTCATGCATTAGTCATGCATTAGACTTTTAAAAACTGAACTGAACATGTCTTAAGTTCCCAGGTGGGAAGGGGTAAAGGAGCAGAAAACTGTGGTATGGAAATAGGGTAAATATGAAAGCAAAGAAAGAAAGAAACATACATCTAAGGGATCACAAGGTTGATCGTTCCGATCAGGGCGTATTGTGTTCATGTGAGGAGAGAAGCGAAGGAGCTTTTGATATTGCAGACCAGCTCCAGCTGGAATCATCGAACGAGAGTAAACACCTGCATCCTCACACTCCAAATAGTTCAGTTCAGAGCTGAGAGGAGTGCACAGTAATATATCAACAGCTGCTTTGACATGGTTCAAATGGCAATTTTCGAGTAAATCTTCAGCCTCTATGATGAGGGTTGCTGCTCGGAGTTGAGGATTTCCAATCCCGTGTGTTTTCAGCGCATCCCGTAAATATTTTCGATCCTTTGATCCTCTGTCACCGCCAACCTGAGAATAGATTAGTACTTGAGGAATATAGTCAATGGAATGTACTTACTTCAGCAATCAGCGGCACTAGGGCTTCATGGACAAGTATGAAAATTGGCCAGGCCAGGACAGCTGCCTGACTAGCGTGAGCAAACTCCCTCCATTTTGCAATTACATCAGAATGATCTGATAGCCATTCATCCATGGCTACCTTCATATCTTCCAGGTGGATACAATTGGCCGCTGAGGACCATGACTTGGAAGTCGATGTGTTTTGACTGGGGCATGAGCCCTTGTCCTGAAACTGATCTGAACATTTGTTGGACCATATATTAACGTGGGACATTCAAATAGAGAGGTTGTGGTCAACTTCGGTGAGCTGCAGGCATCGATTCAATGCAGGTAGCATGGTGGCCATCACCTGGCCGACGGTGGTTACTCCGGACTCATCCGTTGTAATGTTGACACCCTGTAATACAGCAACAGGCTGAGGGTGTTTGCCTAAGTTGCTGTTGAGGCAGAGGTGAATCTCTAATTTGACCACCCATGGGTCGAAGCCTGAGCCTGGGTGTGCGCCATCCTCTCCTGTATCGGGGTCGGAGAGTTGGTTGATTGCCAAAACCTTCCATGAGATGATAGAAAATGTATTAGTGGGACATATTTTGAGAGATGGAAAGGTGTTTTTAGCCTGTTTTTTGTAAGTGGCAAAGATGATTCCACTAGTATTTCCTGCTAGAATCGCCATGGCTTGTGAAACCACAAGGGATAGGGATGGTGTCGACATGGGGGCAAGGAAAAGGTCGACGGAAGCACCGCACTACTTGTACCAGAATTTTAAGTGATATGATGGGCTCACAGCTTCGATTTCAAACCAATTGATTTTCACTCAGGAAGATATCGACGATCAGTCGCATGGTTGAGCTTCGATGGCAGTCCATCCCGAAGCCAGATTGGTTCACCAAAGTGGCAACAGGTAGTGTTGTGGGCAGAACTAATTCAAGGTAGTTCTGCTGGCAGAACTGGCAGAACCTGGCAGATGGCAGAATTGTGTGTCGTTTTCATAGCGCTAGAGGTACTAATTACATGGATGTAAACCGCTTGGCAGCAGCATAGAATTAATATTCCAAGTCCCATCTTTGTTTGCATCATGATCGGCAATATTTATATTTCTTATGTTTGTTGACATATTGTCTGTGGGAATATGGTTGTGAATACTTGTATGTTTAAAATCTCTCCTAAATATCATTTATCTCAATGTGTTACTTATACCTTCCACTGACAGATACTGTCAAACTATATATTTTTTGATTATCACAAGACAGCAACCAATCCACCTGTACCTTCGATTTGTTTTTTGCAGATCAATGATGTTGTCAAGAAATATATTATCAATCATTAGTACCTCACCAGAGACTGTCTCTCTTTTTTCAATTTTGCAGCATAGTAAGCTCAAACACTGACACCTGTGTTGATTTATTTGATATTGGAATTCAAAGGGTTGTCAGGCTAAATCCTGCTTTAAGGTAACACTTAGCTACAGAGTGTTGGCTTGCCAAACCAGAGTAAGCTGAATGTGTTTTAGCCACAGAGCATGTTGCTCATCTTGGCTTATAGAATTTAAGACAGTCAAAATGCCTTTGAAAGGCACACATCTTTGAGTGGCTCAGTTAGTCCATGCCCTCTGATCTTGCTATTGTTGTTGTTGTTGTCACCATTGTCACCACCATTATCTGATCCATAATTACCACCATATTCATCACTCTCCCAGTCCTTTGGAACCCTTTGGAACATGTCACATGCTAGAAATTAGGCTAGAGGAACTTGTAGTCAACAATCTAAAGATACAGCAAAAGAGAAAGCTTTTAGTGTTAGCATGATAATGCCAGCAGATGAAGACAGCAACATACAGAGTGCTCCTACACTTCCAGCTGCAAAGAGAAAGGGGATACAGTGGGAGAAAACCCACAGTGCTCATACCTCTCAGCTCATTGTCTGGTGTAAAGCCAATAATGATGCACACATTCAATTATTCTTGGATTCTGTAAAAGATGTGAAGGATCAAGGCAGGAAGAAAAAGCAGAGTGGGACACTGAAGGAACCTACTACCTTCAACTTGTGTCCTTGATATTTTCAAATGATGAGGATCCCAAGATGCAGCTTCTGTTTTTACAGAACCCCAATATGTTATCAAGCCTGTTGAGACATGATTCAGAACATAAGTACCATCATGATCTTTTGAATTCTTGTGTCATATCTGTTACTGATTAGATGTTTTAGGCTTAGAAAGAAACTGTTTAATAAGGCTCTCAAATAGTTTGATGCTAGAATGACATATGAGGACCTACAGAAGGACCCAGAGATGAAAACACTGATTGGTGGGTTGTGCTCCAATCTTATGATCTTTTATTTTATTTTCTTGCAGATTCAAAATTCAAAAAGTTCCCATGGTGGCCAGACCTCCATAGCTGGTGGAGAACTAACCCAGCATTCAATACTGCATCATCATCTGCAGATCCTGGACAAAACTTCGAATCTGCTGCACTATAATACTACAGTGGGTCTGGCAGTAACAATGTACAAGTCCCCAATACAAATGACCCTGACAGAGACAACAAATTAGAACTGGAGGAGGGGGAAATTGATTAGATTAATAATACCTATCGAGAAGGTCTTAATCCTATTCCTTTTGTGGACAAAATTGTAGAGGAATCCATTGATAATGATACCATCATATGGGGCCCATAGATCAGTTCATCACTCATAGATCTACATCTGCCATATTTCCTTCCTTCCCACATCTTTGTCCTCCTATCACTCCGATCTCAACACATCCTTGTCATCAAAATATATTTTCACTCAACTTTCCAGAGCCTCTGCCTGATGACAGTAATGTCCAGTCTGACAGCTGTCACTTGTTTTTCTCAGGTCTCAAGAAATCTACTTCCAGCTGTGATGTCATACCACAGGACTCAGAAGATTCTGATATCAGTGCTAGCTATGTAATGCAGGGCCTTCATGTTAATTCTTGCCATTGAAGTCCTGCCATTCAAAGATATTTGGTAGTGCAAGTCATGAAACTGTCTGGAATGTCTACTCATAGTGGGTCACATCAATCATCTCATCCCCCATCACACAAGTACACCAATGACACTTAGACTTCTATTGCTACTGAGCACCTTTCTGACATAGCGGATGTGCTTATCCAGTTGATCAGTGAAAAATGTGATAGTTGGACTGAGCACTACAAGCAACTAAAGCTTGAGAGTGACATCTGGTCCAGGGATCTCAAAGTATGAAATGCTAAAGATAAACAAGAACATGCCATGCATCTTGCTGGACAAGACTTTATGCACAAATGCAACCTCATGGGTCAGCAACTGAAGCAAACAAAGCTCAAACTTAAGCTTGCCCACACACATCAAGAAGAGGAAGAGATGCAAATTCAGCATATTGCAATGGAGCAGGCAGGGGGTCAGAACAATTAAGTATCATGACATCATCTTCATTTCTTACTTGTTGGTGTGTGTTGTTGTTGTCTCTTACTTATTCTCTTTGTCACTTTTTGGTCGATCTACTGCAGCAGCTGTTGTTTTAATAGATTGTACTGATACATGGATTTTTCTGTGCAGATATCTACTGATTAAGGACACAAAGCAAATGAGCCATCAAAGTGTTATGAAAATCTTGTCCCTCCATGCTGATATAACTCTCATCCCCTTGTCCATCATCCTCTTCATTATTTTTATCTGTCATTCTTAACCATGTCCTGCCTAGTTAGCTCTTTGTTAAAGTCTTTACCAGAACTTGCAATACTGAGGTGTTCCTCAATCTCTACAATAAAATTATGAAGAATAAGGCAGGAGCGGATCCACATGTTTGAATAGTCTAAATCTTTCTTGCCCTGGATTGAAAATTGAAGCTCTTACAGGCTCTGAAACCTGCCCTTCAACGAGCTGAAAAAGTGTTCAGAGCAAACACAGACCTATTGATATGTAAGTACTATGTTTAACTGATGTTGTGCATGCAACTTACCTTTGAAAGGTGGTAGTTAAATGTCTTCTGGTCTCTTGTCAAATTCCCCCCCAATGGCCATTTGAATAGCATCGCACGCCATGTTCGCACAGCATATGCAGAGTCTACCCATAGCCATTGGCCTTCACCAAAAAAACTCTTCTGGTGTCTGCGCAATCCCTACCTTTGGATGGGGAACCATCCGTTGGTTCCACAACAACACATCAGCAATGAAATGTCTCGCAGCCCGAGACTTTGAAGATCTCCTGCAGGTGAACTTACACTCACCTCGTTTATTTATTCATTTAATTATATTGTAAACTAGCATGCTCTGCTTGTCTTTGAAGGAATCCTCATCAATGAGGAATCAAAGGACAAGGAAAAGGCTATCCATAACAAGATTATATTGGACCTTCTCTTTGACCTTGCAGCATGGCATGCATATGCCAAACTCCACCTGCATACTGATGACACCCTCACATTTTTCGATTCAGCAACTGTTGCTCTGGGTCAGTCCATTCGCAAATTTCAGTGCACTGTGTGCAAACATTATCACACAATGGAACTTCCACACGAGCATGCTGTCCGTGGACATCAACAGGCTGCACTCGCCTCAAAACAACTAGGAGCATTGCATACCGTCTCTGGTCCAAAGTTAAAGAGATTAAATTTGAACACCTACAAATACCATGCGCTCACCAATTACCCTAACACCATCTGAGAAAGAGGTATAACTGATAGCTTTAACTCGCAGTTGGTATGTACTAGTTTAGTTCATTTACTATCATCTTCTAATGTACCCCCAGGGAGAGCTTGAATACCACCTGTCAAAGCGCCAGTATCTACAAACACCCAAGAAAAAGGATCAAACGACATGCAGTATGACCTCTCAGGATGCAATTGAACACTTGGTGAAGAAAGTCATTGCCACACATGAAACCATTGTCGCGCAGAAGGCCAATCCCAGACCAAAGTGTCTCCACACTTCCCCCATAGATCATTACTACATCACCAAGTATTCTCATGAAAGCTTTGATCTCATGGCTTGGTTAGTAGATTTGGCCGATGATCCAGCAGTTAAGGTATGTCTTTCTGTGTATACATTTTACTCAAGTTTCATTGCATATTTTTTTAGAACTTGATCCCTCGCCTGAAAGACCATTTGCTTGCCCGCCTCCATGAGCTTGAATATAATGGTGATGAATACAATTTTTCTGATGAAGACCATGACTCTGAACTCATTGGTGAGAATAAGCTATTTCAGCATAGCACATTGTGTATTAACTAAAGGTAGTCTGTGCTGGCTGTGCCTCTGAGCTTAACAAGCTCAGGAGTGCCGCTGGTCAGATTTTCAAGCTTCCACAGTGTTACTTCACCATCTCATATGCTCACAACACAGAAACTGAGATTCACCAGCTACTTGGCACCACTGGCAAAGCCGACGAGTCATATCCGACTCTGCCACCTATGTTGTTTCCAGGGAATATTGTCGACTGCAGTCATAAAACACTGTTTGGTAAGTGGCAACTTATTGCTAAGGTGCGTTGTCATTCACTTCATTCACATTTGACATCTAATCTACACTGTATCGATAGACACTGAGCTGCTGCCTTAAGGGCAGGAATCACTCTCCAATGAGAGTAGATGACAGGGTGGTGCTCCACCCAATGCAGTTAAGTGGGGCATCACAGCAGTAACACCTGGGGCTGTGGCTTGGGCTATTGTTGCAATCAGTCTAAGCCTTTATTCATTGTGCTCGTCTTGGCTGATTCAATTTTTGTACACTTCTAATAGAACATATTTCTATTATCACCCGACCAGGAATTTCCCCAAGAAGGCAAAGGGAAGACCTCCAGAATCAACTATGACATGATCTTTATGTTCTTCAAAGAACTGCTGATCTGCAACTGGGAGAAGCCTTACCTGAAGATGATCATCAAGCATATCAATACCTTTGTTTTCGAGCGCACTTTTTGCCCCTCTCATGATCTTAACAGTAGGGATTCTGCTGATAATCTTCAAGAAGAAATGTGTCTTGCTCAACTTGGATTAGCAGCAGACACAGAAGATGATCTGTCTCTGTCTGACAATAAAAATGCTAGTATTGATGTCCTCGCTAAAGCTACAGGCAATATAGCTATATGTAATTCCAATGAGGCTCCTACTCCTTTGTCAACTATCTGCTGATCACCAGTCTTCAAGTTCATCATGGAACTGGACCAGATGAGATTGTCAGAGAGGTCATAGTAGTCGAAGAGGTTGTCAAGATGAAGTCTAAGGCTGGTCGGTCCAAGAAGTCAAAGGTGTTACAGGACAGAGGTGCTGAGGCCCAAAAATGACATGGCCGTTCAAAGAAATGTTAATACTACTATCCCAACTTTTCTCCTGATTATTGATACAGCTACAATTACTCACAATTTATCTCTCTTTAAGTAGTCACTTAGATTCAGCAGTCCTGATTCAAGTGTCTGCTCTTAAAGAATAGCTAGTACCAATACAATGAATCAAATAAGTATACCAAGTTCACCATGAACTTTGCAATCTCTGTGCAGTGATTATGTCAGCATTGCAACAGACATTGCTGGCATTTTAGTTTCTCTTTGAACGTCGGTATTGACCAGCTCTCGCTCAAGAGTGGAACTCTCGCCACCTCCGAGACTGCACAATACAACATGATGGTCATGAAGTTCTCTGTCGTGTCTCCTGTCGTAATACAGGTCGCTGCTCAATTTAAACAGTGCTGCAGATTTGCCCAAGCTTGTCAAAGGTCTCGAGCATCTGTTGGAGTCTGACCTCTGTGTCTAGGCTTGGATTGCTTATACTGGTGAGCACATTGTTGCTGGTGCCAGTGAGCTGCACTTTAATTGGAAATTTGCTTGAAGGTAAATGGCTATAAAAATTTATCTACTTGCTGGATCTTATTAGTCTGACCCTTATTGTAGGATCTCCAAGAAGACCACACTAGTGTTCTTCTCAAGGTATCTGACCCTGTCATCGATGGCTATCATACAACTGTCAAGGCTGAGTCCACAATCACAACCTTGTCCAAGTCGCAGAATAAACACAGCCATCTCTACACCAAGGCAATGCCTTTCAATAAGGAACTCACCAAGGAAATCAAGGCTGGTACTACCAACTCCCGTGACAATGTCATCAATGCAAGGAAGATCTGGTGTTTCAGTCCCGATACCACTGGCCCCAACTTGCTCGTTGATGTTACCAATGGTGTGCAGTACCTTAACAAAATCAAGGACTCTACCTTCCAGTGGGCAACCAAGGAAGGTGTCTGTGCTGAGGAGAACATGCGTGGTATCTGTTTCAATGCCCTTGATGTCACTATAAGTTCACTTCATACCTACTTGTATTACATCTTCTTATGCAAAGTTGACAGCTGCACGCTGATGCTATCCATCATGGCGGTGGACAAATCATTCCTACGTGCCATCATGTCTGCTATGCTGCATGTTCGCTTGCTACCCCTGGTCCCCAGGAGCTGGTGTATCTTGGTACATCCTGGTCACCTCGTAATTTTACAGGGTGCTGATACCATTCATAGTCAAGCAAGAATGCCCATGTTCACCATCAAGGTGTACCTCTTTGTCATAGAGTCCTTCAGCTTCAACAGTGATCTCCGCTTGCAGACAGCTGGTCAAGCCTTCCCCCAGAGTGCGTTTGACCACTAGGAGATCATGAATGGATGTGCGTAATTGTGTGATGTATGAAGACTGTTAATACTAATGAAATCCATCAGCTCCTCTTGAAGCAAGATCAAAGAGTTCATCAGGGGCATTCATATGCGCAAGGGTCTCCACAGGACTTGCAAGTGCCAGTAAAATGAATTCGCATGACTGTTAGATGTTTCGAAATTAATCATAATGTACAACTATATATCCATTATAATGTGCAATAAAATTTATGTTGTAATCGGCAGAATACTATGGGAATAATTGACATGTGCAATGCAAACACATCATAATGCGCAAGCCAAAGATCACCATCATATTGAAAATTAATTGCAATGACACCCAAAAAAAATTGAAAACATAGTGGAATTGGAAAATGTAATGAGCATTAGAGCTAGTTCGGCAACTCGATATTTTCGATATTTTTCAATATTTGCTTTGGCATGTTTGCGAAAATGTTCACCGGCATCGTTCCGAGATGTCGGAGCTCGAACCTTGCTTCTCTCCTACTGTACATATTATCAATGGATGTATACCCTCATCTAACCCTAGAGCGGCGTAAGAGGCTTTTTGCTGGTGCGGTCGCGATCACTGCGATCTGTGCACAGTACACTACTCTTCTCATGGCCCAACCTGAAGTCAATGCTCCCCCTCACTCCAAGGCCCCACCAGCGCAGTGGAATGATGTCGAGACTGTTACCCTTGTAGACTATCTCTATGATCATCGCTCAGAGGCTGAAGGGGCAGGCAACTTCAAGCAGCAGGTTCTTGGCTCTGCTGCAGAGTTCATCAACAATCATGAGGCGCTTCAATCCACTCGCGCAGGTCCACTGAAGACAGCGAAATCAACTCGAAACAAGTGGACATCAGTAAGCCCTATTTGATCTCATCTGATCTAAGCTGACGAGTCTCATCTAGCTTAAAAACATATTTCATGCTATCGAGAAGTACCGCAACCAGACAGGGGTCCACTGGGACAATGAGACTGGAGCTGGGATTGAAGGAACTGCGGCTGCGGCTGTATGGACATCGTATGTCAAGGTATGTCCCCTCTTCGTCATATTGATTTGAGCGCTGACTTTTGTCAGGCAAATAACCTCATGCGTCCTTTCCGCAACAGGGGATGGGAGCATTATGAAAAAATGCAGACCATCATCCCATTGGGCGGCGCTAGAGGGCGGCACGTCTTCCGTCCAGGTGGCGCTGCTCCCTCCACCACCAATGCTGATAACGATCTTGCGGATGCTGCTGGCCCATCAAGCACTGCTGCTGTTCCTGCTGCTCCAAGCGCTGCTGCTGTTCCTGCTGCTCCAAGCGCTGCTGCTGTTCCCGCTTCTGCAGGCCCATTAAGCACTGCCGCCACCTCTACGTCCATCACTAGCTCCACTCGAAGCCCTTGCGATTACGATACACCGGACGTTCGATGGCCTTAGGCGTGACGTGGATGTGACTGCCGTCGATCGCCCCAATAGCGTCCTTGAAAAAGGGCCACCATTTGGGGTTCTTCCGAATTTTGCGGGGGACCGAACCATCTGGAAAGCGCACGTATCTTGAATAGAACGGGTCCGACGTGAAGATGATAAGCATCTTGCGGAAATAACTACATACTATTAGATACTGTCACTTGAAATAAAATAAAATAAACTCACCGTGAAATCGTTTCGTTCGAGCGTTGAAATCTCTCCGCAACATGCCTGATTGATAGGCCAGTCACAGAGGTGTAAAGAAAAATCGCAAGTTGTTCCTCGAGGGACACAAACTTGGAGTCTGAATGGCCCATGGTGCGAAGCTCGGAGATAAGCTCCACAAATGCATTGGCGCGCATGCCAAGCTCACACCTGATGCGCTCTGGGTGACCAGTGAGCAACTCGATCACCCAGTCTTGCCCAGTTAGCGCTGAAGTGTGATAGGGCTCGGGATCTTTGGGATATATTGATTGTAGGATGCCGTGCGTAGAAGCAACAACGATGCTGATTACGAGTACCATGCATTTGAGGAGTCGTTCCCGGACCTCTGGCCGAGGATTCGTCATGAGCGCTGCTAGGCGTTGGCGCTCCATCGCGAACCCCAGTGGTTGGGGATCCATCAAGGTATATACCCTACCCTCATTATCACTGATCTTGTTGATAAGCTCAAATTCAAGCTCCGAATCGCCTTGGACTTAGGGGGAGCATTGACTTCAGGTTGGGCCATGAGAAGAGTAGTGTACTGTGCACAGATCGCAGTGATCGCGACCGCACCAGCAAAAAGCCTCTTACGCCGCTCTAGGGTTAGATGAGGGTATACATCCATTGATAATATGTACAGTAGGAGAGAAGCAAGGTTCGAGCTCCGACATCTCGGAACGATGCCGGTGAACATTTTCGCAAACATGCCAAAGCAAATATTGAAAAATATCGAAAATATCGAGTTGCCGAACTAGCTCTTACAGGTGTAAATGTAACATTCACAGTGTCATTATAATATGTATTCCAAACCGTGGCTTCTATTGCAATGGCTTGTCAATCATGTGTGATATTGGGACTATTACAAAGCATCCTAATTGGTTGAAATCAATTTCCAAGATTTCCGACAGAAGGGATTGGGGAAAGGCTTGTTGGGAATTGAATTTGAGTGGAGTAGAAAGGGTCGCTTGAGAAGAACACTAGTATGCACTTGAAATACCTGATAATGGCATGAATTAGTATATATTATTGAATAAATAGTTTACTTACCTTGAGATTGTGTCAGAGGACTGTTGGAAGCACTCTCCACACACTAGCATCCCATACCACACTTTAGCCTTGACCGGTCAAGCTTGGGTCCTTGAACTGATGGCCGGTCACCCTGACAGAATCAGAAACAATCTAGGTGTTAGCTTGGAAACATTTGAAGAGCTGCTGGAAATTCTACAGACCAATGGATTTGCGCTATCTCACAATAGTGTAATGGTTGAGGAACAGCTGGCCATCTTCTTGTATATGTGTGTCACTGGTCTCTCAACTTGCCATGTTGGAGTTAGAGATAATTGGTAGTATAAGGCTGAGATATGAGCAATAATTGAAGTCAGAAGTATGAAGTAGCGACACTGATAGAGATCTTGGTTGTTTTGCATCCACAAAGCCCGAGTTTGTCATATGATGGCATCCATGATATAGTCTACCATATCACTGTGTGGTGTAAAAAGGAATCCGGGATTGCCCTTTGTGTGTCACATGACACCAAATATTGATTTGTTGATTTTGGATTTGGCAAATTTTGCCAGTCCATACATAGCCTAAGCATTACTATACTGGGTGATCAAGCATCTCACTAACTATTATATGGCTTAGTTGCATTAAGTCCCAACACCAGCATTAAAACCTGCTTCAAATTATCTTCTATTTTCTATCTTTTATCTTTTATCTTTTATCTTTTACCTTATACCTCATAAGTTACTATCAGAATCAGCCAATAGTATTAACTAACATATTGTCAATAACATACAGTGGCTCAAAAAAGTGTCTCAATGTTTCTGACTTTTCATGTAATTGCTTTATTATGAGCCAGGGTGTGGGAATATGACTATGCTGTAGGGAGGTGTCATAATGCTATACGTCTCAGCCTCATTTAAGTCCCCTATAGCGTGGGAAGACGATGTCATCATGTGCAGATATGGCTATTTGAATTGGGTGACTCATTGAGACACTTTTTTGATTTTCAGTCTGATTAACACAATCTCTATAATTATGATACTTTATGTGACCTCCTGTTGCTCTAATCACTTCTGCCACTCCTCTAGCCATGCTATCTATCAATTTTGAATATTTCTTCTTAGTACTCCTTTCTCACTCTGCTGCAACTCTGTCCTACAGCTGAAATAGCCCCTATGATGAATTTTGATAGGCTGCAAGCAATTTCTTAGATATTTTTCAGTAATATTCAATAGGGCTAATGTATGGGGACTGTGCTAGATATGATAGAACATTGATATTATGGTCTTTGAGCTGCTAGTGACTGACTTGAAATCTTACTTCACATGAATGAAGATCTCACATTTACCATATTCTAACTGGGCAGGCTGCTAATGCTACTCAGGCCACCTAATTCATCAATTCATCATCTCCAGCACTGTTTCCACTCAAACCATCAACAATACTTGCAAGGCAACAAATATTAAAGTTACAATCAATCAGAAGAGGATTCTCCTATCCCTAGCCTATAGAAATAGGAAGTAAACTTCAGCTTTAAAGACCAGTACTGGACTGAAAGAGGACTGGAAGAGAATTATATTATGAGATAAGACCAAGATAAATATAATGAAGTCAGATGGCTGGGAATACATCCATAAAATGACAGGTGAACCACTAAAAGAAAAAAAATTGTGTAAACTCTCAAGTGTGGAGTAACAAACATAGAGGTATAGAGCTATATGAGATGTAATAGAGTGTATATTCTCTGTGTGAAGTGAAGTGAAGAACTAATACAGAGTGGTACATCTCTATTTTAGATGAGAGTCTGCTAAGAAGCATACAGAAATTGTTACGCACTCAAATAGATCTGTTATACGGAGCCCTAAGAGGGGCGTCGTCCGCTAACGTTCGTGACGTAACCGGAAGGGTCCGGTGTAGCGACTGAGACTGGCGACGTCGAGTCGGCAGATATCAGAGACGCGCGTGTCACGTGACTTCTAAGACAGATGTCTTCAAAGTCACTGACGTTCTCAAAGTAAGGACAGTCTTGTCCGAACGATGAGGTGGTCGATCGAGGTAGACTTAGGCGCGATGAGCACCTAAGAAAAGATACTAGAGACTGAAGCTGAGGGGGCTTCAGAGGGAAGTATGTTCGAGGGAAGATTGAGTAGATTCAAGTTAGGGAATCTAGTACAGAGTGACCGACTACTTATACTAAGTGGAAAGGGTTAAGGGCAAGGCTACCGTACTGTAGGTAAGGGCAAAGGGGAAACGGAAAGGGTATAGGTACGATGGTGGCAGAGCCTGATTAGTGATGTAAGGTCGAATGCGGAATGAGACCGAGAAACG